AATGCCATGGCGGCCAGGACTCGGGCCCAAGCCTGGGTCTTCCTCAATATTGACAGTAGGGTTGAGTGCCCCGGTGCCCCACCATGACCCTAGGCTCAGGAAAGATCAGGACTACGGTGGGATGTGTAGTGTTTCTATGTTGGAGGGATGACGCACCAGATTTGACAGTTCACAGTGTCCCCTGTCCAGTCTCAGTAAGGACGTCCAGCTGCCTCTTCACAGTTTGGAAAATTACAAATGCATTTGTTCCTTCCATCAGTTAGCCAGGGCTTATTGATCTTCCTGCTATGCTTTGGGCTGGGGCCATGAGCTGAAGGCCGAGTGAGCTGTTCTCAGTGTTTAGTAGTTTGTTTACTTGCTTTTGATTGTGCTGAGGGTTTTCCTACCTAAGTGAGAGGGTTAGATGAGTTATTGTATAGGTTCCTCAGAAGGTCCCCGCTGCCCGCTGGCCTTAAGCCCCGGGTCATGGCCCACCCTGTGCTGGCTCCTGGTTTCTTAATGTGCATCCTTCACCTGCTGGAATACAGGGTGATGGCTCCAGAGCCAGCGCTGGGGAATGAAGGATGGGCTGGGTACTCGGAATAAAGTGCTCCCAGGTATTAGTGACCATTCGGGGCAGTGCTGCGTGTGGGTATGTATGTCTGTCCCGTTTGTCAGGACAGGCGAGTGTCCTGTGGCAGGTGGCCCTGCCAGGGACACTGAAACACATTCGCCGCAGGCCTGTGAGGAAGCAGCGTGGTCCCAAAGAGAAGGCGTTCTCTCTGTGCTTGCTCTGGGAGGGCTGGGGAAAAGGAGTAATGTCACCTTCCATCAGAACGCCGAGCCCCCCTCAGGCAGCCCCACCTCCCAGCCCCTGAGCTCTTAGGGCTGCAGTTGGATCCAATCCCTTAACAGTAGGACAAGTGATCCCTTCGTTTCCCAGGGTACACATTTGTATTCCTTGCTAGAGGAATTCCACTTAGGGAATTGCTGCCCCTCCCCCAACACGGTCATACTCTGCGTGTGCGCGCACACACGCACACACACACACACACACACACACACACACACACACACACACCTCTATATACCTCGTCTGCCATGGTTTCTTCTTTTTCTAAACTTTGGATTCAGTCTCTCTGGGGTCTTTTCATCGCTTCTCTGTTACTGGTGGCCTTGCCTGCACTGGCCCCTTGAACCCAGAGGCCCTTGAGGGCAGCTACATGGAAGGCCCCGGGCAAGTATTTACTGAATGACTGAGATAAGGGGTAAATGAATTCCGGAGGAATTAAGTGTCAAGCCTGGAGAAATTGGGGCCGACCCAGGTTTTGCGAGTCCCAAGCCGGGCCTGGGGCCAGCTCGTCCTGCCTCGGCTGCTTTGGCCCAGGGACAGCACACCAATTACCCCTTGCTCTTTCCAGGAACTCACACTCCCCTTCCTTGCTCTGAGTCTAGCAGCTGGCATTGGTTATGACTGACCCACGGCAGCACCTGCACCTACTCGTGGAATCACAGGGTGTCAGGTCTCACAGAGCTTTCTGAGATGATCTCCAGGCGTGGCCCTGCCTCTCTGTGGGGCTCGGCACAGGCTTTGCTGGGGCTCATTAGAGGGGCTGAGGGCCATAATCCTCAGAGCATCTTCTGGTGAGCTGGCTAGCTCTACTGAAATTCTGGGTTCCCCCACGGATCCCAGGATAGATGATCAAGTTCTGAAGGGGTTGATTGCTCTCTGTCTCCTAGTGCCAGCAGCTGGGCCATCAGAAGTGGTCCAAGCCCAGATGGCCACCGTGGGTACGTATAGTTGAAAGAGCTGGTGTCGGGGTGTGGCTCTCCCTTGGCTGTTTCTGGACCCCCAGGTTCTGGGTGGGAGCCCAAGACCCTTCTGACTCTGACAGATTCGGATTGTTGGGTGTTCAAGGACTTCTGCAAAAGCTGAATTTGAATCCCATGAAGTTGGGGTGAAAGTGGTTCTACTACAGGTTAGCCTTCTTTTATGGGCTGTGTTTATAGGGTCTGTTCACTCATCCATTCAGTTAGAACGTCCTGAACCTACAATGAGCCAGCTCTGCTCTAGGCCCTGACGCTTTACCTGTGACCAAGGCAGACATGAGCCTGCCCGCATGGAAGCAAAGCACATCTGTAAAAGGGTCAACAAGAAAACTGCCCCAGTGGTAAGTCCCATGAAGAAGAAAGTAAGGTGATGGTGTAGAGAGAGGCTGCGGGGATCAAGTTTTCTGTGACAAGGTGGACATGGAGGGCCTTTGTGAGAAGGGGATATGTGAGTTGAGACCTGCTTGGGGGGAAGGAGCCACCTGTGCCTTTGCACATTCTCGAACTTGCTGAGTTCAACAATGGCACCTGAAGACCGGTGGCTTAAAGGGGGTTAAAAAAAGCTTTGTTGACTCTGAAAAAAAATTTTTTGAGCATAATAAAAGAATTCCATATCCAAACCTAACTTGAAAACACCCCATGTTCATTATTTGACAAGTTGAGCTGTTACCTGCACGGCGTGACTGGGTGGGGGGTGGTCTTCAACTTGATGCGGCGCATCCAACCTGATTTGCAGTCTTGCTGTATTTGCACGTTCAGCTTCCTCTCCCTCCTGCCGAACTGGCGTCAGCTCAGCAGCAGTAACCTGAAAATAGCCCATCTTCCTGGATTCATGTCTTCTGAGCTGGCCAACCGGGCAGCCTTTGGAAGTGGGCCATCCATGTTGGCTTTGGACTTTCCAAACTTCCTCAGAGCTCTTGGGTGGAATTCTGAGCGCTCCCAAGTGGCTTCAGGGTCATGATCCATGTTTGCTCAGGAGAGGAGCCAGTGCAGCTGGATGGGGCTTGAAGGTGGAGAAACAGCTCTAGACAGGGCCCTTCCAGGCCCCAGTCCTGCCCCAGCAACTTCTCACACTGGGCCTGCTCCTCCCCGCTGGTCAGCGGGTGCCATGAGTGCTGGGGCTGGACAGTCTTGTCGTCCACCAGTGCGTCTTCAGTGCCAAGGACAGGACCTGGCACACAGTGGAAACTCAGCAACTTTGTTGAATGAATGTAAGAATCTCCATGAGAAATTACTCCTTTCTGACCAGGCTCCAAATTGGTTTCTTTTTTTTTTCTTTTTTTAAGTATAGACTGCCACCAGAGAAAAAAAAGAAAAGATGGAAATTGGAAACATTATTTTACTGCAAGTGACCGTGTGCCTGTATGTGTGTGTGAGTGTGTATAGTTGTTCATGGACAGTCAGCCCTGCACCATGGTTGCAGTTTCTCTCACTCCTGAAAATAAACATCATGTCTTTTTCTTCTCCTCTCTTGCAAGACAGACTCACAGCCTCTGTCTTCTTGCCAAGGAAGTCAGGTCTCCCATCGGAGACCCTCCATCCACGCATGGTCTGCCTGGCAGGAAGCCCAACAGGCAGCAGACCCCACCGGGGCTGAATGTGCTTCCTCCACAGTTGAGCTCTGTCCCCACAGGTCCCCCTGAGGAATCGCTTGGCCCAGCAATCCGTCCTGGCTGGGGTTAAGCGGTACTCCTGGACCACCTGGCTGGCCAACGCATCTAAACATTGGGATACAAAGGGGATGGATGTGCAATAACTGTTTCAGTGGCAGGAAACAAATTTGGACTCCTTCAAGTAGAAGGCAGATCTAGAAATAGAAGGAGCCCAGGCGTGGATTCATTGCCTGTCAGAGTTGAGCTCCCCACATGCTCTGATGTGGAGGGAGCTGTTCCCTCTGCCCCACCCCCGAATGCCCTGGCTTCAGCCATTCTGCACAGGCTGGAGAGGGGCAGAGAGGACTATTAAAGCCAATTATGCAGACCAGCTTTGAGTGTTAGTGTTTAACAAACAGCTTTGAGTTCTAATTTTCTGCAAAACACATACTGCAGGTACAATTTGTACTCATTACTGTATATTGGGAAAGTTATTAAAAACACTCAAACTTGGTTGAGACTTCCTATGGCATCGTCCCTGGATTTTAATTGGTTTTTATCTAGTTCTATAAAAGATCTCTTTAAGCCCAATCACAGTCCCTGCCGCAGATATCATGCCAGTTGAAGGACAGGGAAAGCGCGCTCTGTGATGTAAGTCCTTACCCCCTACCCAAATTTGAGCAGTCTCAACAATCCACTAAAATTCCATCACGAGGTAATTTATACTTCTTTTGATAGGCACAGTTACCAAACGACAAAATAACAGTGTTTCGTAACATAAGGGTTAAATCTTAATCTCTGAGGTTTGCAAAGCCGCTACTTGCAGTCTCCTTAAAATTTAATATACCTCGTTAATGCTTCCTTGCAAACACTGAAGGATTTTTATGATTATAATCATGTGTTACAGCACCTAGTACTGTTTCTAAGCAGCATACTAATCAGCTTAATGAGATATTACTGCACTTTTTGTTGACTAAAGCAAAATCCCTTTTATTGTTCTAAAGCCTGTCCTTTACTTTATTTTTTCCCCAAACATTATCTTGTTTTATTATGTACCAGTAAATATCGTGCCACTGGGTTGGATTTTTTTTTTTTTTTTTTTGCCAAATCATAAAATAATCTCTTTCATCTCAGACTGGCGAACATATCGAATATAGTAACCAGAAACAAAAGTTCCAAGTGAGTCAGTTTGGTCTTGCAGTTAAAGCCATTCTGCTCTATGGCAAACTTTGAACTGGACCAACAGGTGCAGGTGCTACAAGGGGGGAGAGGAGGAAAAGTTTAACACGTAGACCCTTGATTTGTTATTAGGTGTTGAAAGTGGTAAAACATTAATAATTTAAATGTGAATGAATAATTGCAGTCTGTAAATAGAAAATACAAGGAAGACGATCTATCGCCAAAACAAATTGGAGGAGCAGTGCCATATTGCATAATTGGCATTTAATAATTCATTTTTTTATTATTGTTTTTGACTATAATTCCTTAGCATTATTCTGTGTAGGTAAGGCATGAAATGCAAATTCCCTGCCAGCTGATGCTGTTGATTCGCTGCGCCACGGTACCTGGCACAGATCTGAACTCTCTTTTTATTTTTAGGGATGGAAGAAGCCAGTCTGTGCCTTGGAGTGTCCTCGGCGGCGCCGGAAGCTGAGCCCCATCTGAGCAGCCCCGTCCTCAACGGCCAGTATGCCATGAGTCAGAAGTTGCACCAGATCACCTCCCAGCTCAGCCATGCTTTCCCCGAGCTGCATCCACGGCCCAACCCAGAGGATAAGACCCCGGTTCCCCTCGACGAGAAGGCCCACGTGCCCATGAGTGGCCAGCCCATGGGCAGTCAGATGGCGCTCCTGGCCAACCAGCTGGGCCGGGATGTGGACACCAGCCTCAATGGGCGGGTGGACCTGCAGCAGTTCCTCAACGGGCAGAACCTGGGCATCATGTCCCAGATGAGCGATATCGAGGACGACGCCCGCAAAAACCGCAAGTACCCGTGCCCTTTGTGCGGCAAACGTTTCCGCTTCAACAGCATCCTCTCCCTGCACATGCGCACTCACACCGGCGAGAAGCCCTTCAAGTGCCCGTACTGCGACCACCGGGCGGCACAGAAAGGGAACCTCAAGATTCACCTGCGGACCCACAAGCTGGGCAACCTGGGGAAGGGGCGCGGGCGGGTGCGCGAGGAGAACCGCCTGCTGCACGAGCTGGAGGAGAGGGCCATCCTGCGGGACAAGCAGATGAAGAGCAGCCTGCTGCAGCCCCGGCCGGACTTGAAGCCCCTGCCGCACGCCCAGCAGACCCCGCTGGCCGCCTGCAACCTGGCCCTGCCCACCAACCACAGCGTGCCCGACGTGGCCAACCCGGTGCCCTCGCCCAAGCCGGCCAGTGTGCAGGAGGACTCAGCGACCCCCGCTGCTGGCTTCCGCTGCACCTTCTGCAAGGGCAAGTTCAAGAAGAGGGAGGAGCTGGACCGCCACATCCGCATCCTACACAAGCCCTACAAGTGCACGCTGTGCGACTTCGCTGCCTCGCAAGAGGAGGAGCTCATCAGCCACGTGGAGAAGGCCCACATCACGGCTGAGTCGGCCCAGGGCCAGGGCCCCAACGGCGGCGGGGAGCAGTCGGCCAACGAGTTCCGCTGTGAGGTTTGCGGACAGGTGTTCAGCCAGGCGTGGTTCCTGAAGGGCCACATGCGGAAGCACAAAGACTCCTTCGAGCACTGCTGCCAGATCTGCGGCCGGCGCTTCAAAGAGCCCTGGTTCCTGAAGAACCACATGAAGGTCCACCTCAACAAGCTGTCAGTGAAGAACAAGTCCCCTAGCGACGCCGAGGTGCCTGTGCCCATGGGCAGCATGCCCCAAGAGGCCCACGCCAACCTGTACTCCAGGTACCTCTCCTGCCTGCAGAGCGGCTCATTCATGGCTGCCGACAAAGCCAGCCTGAGCGAGCCCAGCCAGCTCTACGGCAAAGGCGAGATGCCCGTGAAGGAGAAGGAGGTTGTGGGGAAGCTGCTGACCCCCATCTCCAGCATGGCCCATGGCGTCCCCGAGGGTGACAAGCACTCCCTCCTGGGATGCCTCAACCTTGTGCCACCGTTGAAATCCAGCTGCATCGAGCGGTTGCAGGCAGCGGCGAAAGCTGCCGAGATGGACCCCGTGAACAGCTACCAGGCGTGGCAGCTCATGGCCAGGGGCATGGCCATGGAGCACGGCTTCTTGTCTAAAGAGCACCAGCTACAGCGCAACCACGAAGACACCTTGGCGAACGCCGGAGTTCTGTTTGATAAGGAGAAGCGGGAGTACGTGTTAGTGGGAGCAGATGGCTCCAAGCAGAAAATGCCTGCTGATTTGGTTCACAGCACTAAAGCGGGCAATCAGAGAGACCTGCCAAATACGCTCGACCCTTTGGAAGGCAGTCGGGATTTTTTGTCACATGGGCTGCACCAGGCTCTCGAGTACAACCTGCAGGGTCCCGGGAGTCTGAAGGAGAAGCCCACCGAGTGCCCGGACTGTGGCCGTGTGTTCCGCACCTACCACCAGGTGGTCGTGCACTCCCGCGTCCACAAGCGGGACCGCAAGGGCGACGAGGACGGGCTGCACGGGGGCCCCGATGAGCGGCGCGGCTCGGGCAGTGACCAGGAGTCCCAGTCGGTGAGCCGCTCCACCACGCCCGGCTCCTCCAACGTCACTGAGGAGAGCGGGGTCGGAGGCGGGCTCTCGCAGACCGGGAGCGCCCAGGAGGACAGCCCACACCCCTCCTCGCCGTCCTCCTCAGGTAGGTTGCCAGGGGAGATGGGGGAGCGGTGGCTGGCGCAAGGGCCCTCCCTGCCCCGGGGCCTGGTTCTGCACCAGCCTCTGTGGGGAAGGGTCCTCGCTGCCCTTCAGAGTCAGCTCTGAGTTCACCGTGGCTTTGTGCTGTATGTGGACCTTGCCCGTCTGCCCCGCCTCACGGGAAGGCTATCTTTTCAACTCTTTGACCTTCCCTTGAACACTGGCCACCAGGAAAGTAAGCTGATCCTCCTCCCGTGTGGGGGAGATGGCTGGTTGTTACGTTTGCCAGCTGGGATAGCCTACCCTCCCCTGTGATTACTTGGCCCCATTTCATGCCCTGACCCCCGTCCACCATCACCCCTGGAACCCGGGAGCTGCTGTTTGGCTCCATCCGCGGATGTGAATGTGTAAGTTCAGACCCTCACCATCTCTCCCCCAAGTGTATGCCCATAATTCTGTCATTTGGGCCCCTCACTGCCTCTCCCTAGACCAAACCTCTCTCCGGCCCCCTTTCAAAAGTACAGCTTGGCTCAGGTGCCTCTAACCTGAAGAACCACACCATTCTCCTCTGATGGTTTGGAGAAGCACAGAGGTTTGAAACACAGATGCGCGACTTCATCTCTTAAATTGTACTGTGTTACACGGGCGATACAGCTTTGGGGTCTAAAATAGCAAAGCAGAAAATCTGTCATCAAAATGTCTGTGAAATGCTGAAGCTTCCTGGCCCAGTTTGAGGAAAAAAAAAAAAAAAAAAAAGAAAGAAAGAAAAAAAAAAACTCACTATCCTAAGACAGCTAAATTAAAATCACTACCTAACAGCAGGTAAGCTTGTTGCCTTCATATTTCCAAAGCCCCTTACTAATGGACAGTAAATTGAAAGTTATATCTCTAGCCCTTTATAAAGAAAGCATCTCGCTAATACTGTAATCATTCTGCAGCCTAACAACAGAGGAAATCATGCCATAACAAATACCCTGTTACTAATGGCAACATTGATTTCTGCAATCAGCCATTAAGTCTAGAAAATGAAAGACAGTTTGAGGCACCTCAAGGCACTGCATTGCCCACTGTTAAAGATGTGGCAGCACACTGTTGAGGGTAATTTTTTAAAAGTTTTTTTCCCCTTTTCTTTTTTTTTCCCTTCTCAGTTTCAATAAATATTTCAGTATTAGAGGCAATTCACCACCACACTTATTAAGTAGATGCCAGCTTAGTTGTGTTGTTATTGTCATGCTTCAGTATACCCTTCTTCCAGGACAAAATGAGTATTAAAATAAAGTGTGAGTCTGGTGGCTTATTACAAACCAGTAAAGAATTGTTAAGACACATAAATCTGCACTGCACATTCCAAAGATTCCGATAGCACTTAATGCCGCTGCTTAAACACCCATGAAACACACTGTCTCCACCTGGAGCCCTAGCCTTGTTTGCAATTCACTTCAGTGACGCTCTGGAAGAGTTTAATGAGGAACTCCAGCACCACGGAGGGCTAGGCCACACTGCCTGGAGTGACCACCGCCCAAAACTTGCAAGGGAAGGGTTTTCCAGTGTCACTGCCTGACGGCGGGGATTCTGAGATGATCTTTGTGCACCAAGGCAGCAAAGTGCCAGGTGTCCTACTGTCAGGAGGGATTACTTCTGGCCTCCTGTGAGGAGGTCCCCTCTCCCTGCGGAGTGTCATCTCACGGTTTTGGGGATGTGGGACCTTTCTGGGGCAGAAAGCAGAGCGCATACTGGCTTTCCTAAGTTTTTGGAGTGACGTGGAGTTAACACTGACAGATTTTCCTCCCTCTCCCAGCCCTGCTGAAATGAAAAGGTCTCAGCAGAATATTCCGACACCAAATGTTCGGCTCTAATAATGACGTGTTTACCGTGTTTTTCTCACCTTCTGGCCAAGTGATAGCCTCGTGCTATTCCTATCTCTGTTGTTTCCATATCTCTAAATACTCAGTTGAAAAAAGCCCATTTTTGCCTAAAAGAACCAACCGGGATTGGGACTCAAAGGAGAATTATACTTGAATTGCGGTTATCTTCTCACTTTTATTTCCCTCATTGAAGTATCGTACAATTGTGAATACAGATTCTTTCATTTCTGGTTGACTTCTTTGTTTTCTTCGTATTCAAATTAGACACTTCCATAATTTTCTGACTAAGTAGGAAAATTGATGGCATACCAATATGCAGCCCAAATCAGCCGCACGCCTGGGCCAGTCAGGTTTTCCTGGGATTAGGACCCTTAACCAAATCGGGTTAGTCTTCCCTCCTATTTCAACAAGTCTGACTTGTATAAAGTGTGATTAAAATAAGCATTTAAATAAAAATCTTGACACAATGGGTATTTTATTATTACCTGTTAGAGAGAAACCTGCAAGGTGAAGGGGAGAAAAAAACAATCTTTAAGCCCTTAAGTAAAGAAAGAAGTACTTATTAAGGCTTCTATTAAGAAATAACTGCAAAAACACGGTTTTACAAATTTCTCAGACTGCATAACAATGTCTTAAAACTTAATTTGCATCACTTGATTCTTTTTTTGTTGAAAACTGGGTCAGTAGGGCCTGAGAAACTATTTTTTCAGATCTTAACCAATGAATTCTTCTTTATAAATCGCTGCTCTTAACATGATAGTAGTTCTGAATTCATCATAAAAAACCTTTTTACAGAGAGCCTCTTAGAACAGATCTCCAGAAGAAGGCTTACAATGAGTGGCAGAGACGTCCTTTGTTATCAGATGTAATTCTTTGCAAAGGAGGATTGGAACGGAGTGGCTGTTTAAAAATGTCTTGCTCAGACCGAGACGAAGAAGGGGTCAAGTTTGCAATCAAACAGTTATTGCCGAGATGGGCGACTGTCACTGGCTAGGCTAATGTGGGATGCAGCTGTTTGTTATGTGAGCAAAAGAATGTTTGAATCAGTGAACATGTGAAAATGATTCCAGTGAACCAGAAAATGTGTTTGTTCTTTGGCTCTCCAAACTGCTGAGAACCAAGCTTAAGATCAACTGTGAAAACTAGGACCTTTGACAAATTGAGAGGTCATATTTTCTAACAGAAAATGGACAAGACCAGTCATACAGATCACTTCCCCATCTTTCCCCTTTGTTTTATATTTGTTGTTGTTGTTGATTTCACTTACCAATAATTTCACACCATAGTAGATGTCATTTCTTCCTCCGTGTACGATGCAAAGGGAAACTATTTGGAAAGCAGCAGCTTATAAATTTTACTCTTTTATGACATTTAGAAAGTGGGGCAGCTGTTTTGATGCTCCCTCATTCCTGGCTTGCGTGCAAATGCTCCGATGGCATTAATCTCTGCATCTTTCCCTAAAACCTCGTCTAAGACTGTGCTCCAATTCGAGCTTTACCCTGAGTCAGAAGACGACCAAAGTTCTGTTTCTTTAGATTTTGCTTTGGAAATCACGGTCAGAATGATTAAAACTTAATGTACTAAGAAACGATACTGTTCATTATATCCAACAGGGCAGTTACCTTCTGCATTCCCCATAATTTTGGAGAGGGGCTAATTGAAGTGTTGATGGTGGGAAAGGGGTAATTGAATGTGTTGACCCTCTGTTCATTAAAGTCGGCTAAGTTACATGATCAACGGAAAGCCAGGAACAGACGCAAAGATGAAAATATTGTTAACCCCTGCTACTTCTGGTATAATATTTTGAGATGGACAAGGATTATTTGATCAGCTGGGCTGGAAGCCTTGCGGGGTCTTCTTTTGTTGCCTGAGCTGCATTCCTGAAATGCTGGGTCTCCATCCTGTGCTGGCCCATTGACCACAGCATCAAAGGCCTTTATCCAGGGCTGCCTTGCATTTACATCGGGTGTCTAGTGATATGATAGATTTTCTTTCTTTTCCACCTCTTTTTCTCATGTGGCTCCTCCTCCCTGCCCCCATTCATGATAACCACTGCCTGCTCTGCACAAACAAATCCGGGCACCCAAAAGAAGGGAAAAAAAGAAAAAGAAAAAATTTAAGTCTGAGGATTAAGATCTTCTTTTTTTTTTTTTTTTTTTTTGCTTGTGCATTCCAATTGTTCTTAAAATATTTGGCAATGTCAATTAGTAACTGAGCAGAGTTAGCTGATGAACACAATTTTCCAGTAGACTGAGCACCCTATTGTTGCCGAGCGAACAGCAGATTTCTGAGGTCATTATCATTCGCTGGTTGCTTGGCCCAGCTGCTTCCTGCTGCAAAAGCCAAACTTTATACTGGAGCTTGGGGATGGCATGCAGCAACAGGGGGCTGGGAGGGAGAGAGGGGAGCTGGCTGCAGAGCCGAAGACAGTCATTATCAGCAGAGGAAACAGAAAGTAAAAGTTTCCAGGCAATTCCAGGAAAACTGCCCTATCAGGCTTCTCCCTCCCGTTCCTCTCCCAGCACCTTCCACCTCCAGGCAGGGAATTAAAAGGACCAGGGGATGCCCTCTGGGCATTGTGGCCACTAATCTCTTTGCTGAGCAGAACTTTGGAAAACAAGAATCCCATTTAAAATTTACTTAAAAATCATTAACCCAATCTAAGGCATGTGAGTGATTTCCTCATTGATAGACTCCTTCATTTTTTATTAAAAAAAGAAGAAAGAAAAACAAATTATTTTTTAAAAGATGAAATTAAAAACTTGAAATTAGTAAACCTGGGGATGACAAACAGGGAACATTATTTCATTTTCCAGGGGGGAAATTTTGAGCGGATACTAGTCTGAAATTCCTTGTAAATGAAATTTAGCATGGAAGGTTCCCGTTGCCCACTCTGGCTTCCCCTTTTTCCTTCCCCCTCTCTCTCCCTCCCCCACCCTTTAATTTGGGAGCTGGTTCAGTGAGATGAAAAGCTGCACTTTTTTAAAGCTCAGCTGTTAAAACTGAGCGCCATATGCAGCCTTTCCGTCCCGATGTGGAAGTGTGTGCAGGCGGCCACCGTGTTTGTGGAGATTTACGGAGGCTCGGCTGTGTGTGCTGAAGCCCTGCCTGGGCAGATGCTGGCTGGCCCTGCCTCCCG